AATGTAAGCACTGACATTACCTGTAAACCTGAGGAAAAAAAATCAATAAAAGTCCTTGTAGCTGGGGAAAGATGAAATAAAGACAAGGCAGAATAAATAGTCTACACATTTGCCCTGCCTAGAGGGAAAAGCCCCACTCCTCACACATTAGTCTAGCTGCGGGAGGCAGTTTAGTCCCTTGATGTCACTGTTGAGCTGTTGGAAAACTACACAGAGGCTTGCTCTGTCTCCTAAATTCCTAAATCCTAATTATGTGAAACTATTTACTTTTTTTTTTTTTTTTGGTTTTTCGAGACAGGGTTTCTCTGTGGTTTTGGAGCCTGTCCTGGAACTAGCTCTTGTAGACCAGGCTGGTCTCGAACTCACAGAGATCCGCCTGCCTCTGCCTCCCGAGTGCTGGGATTAAAGGCGTGTGCCACCACCGCCCGGCTTCTATTTACTTATTTTTAAGTTACTTTGAGTTTTGTGGCTTAGTGGAAAACATCCTGATAGGTACTTGCAATTCCACGGGTGAGAACAGTGAGTCTCAGAGAATTAAAATCTAAGAGGACAGAGAATTCCAAGAAGAAAAACCACAATAAAAATTTTGGAATGTAGTAGACAAGAAAATGTTGGAATTAACCAGTTTAAAAGAATAAAAGAAACCCATTCCTAAATCATCTATGCTTGATTTATACCTTAGAATACCCCAAAGTCCCAAAGTGGCACCACCAGGTGAGGTAGTATGAAGGAAGAAAGGGAGCACTCATGGAAAAGCTGTCATGAATGGCTTAAGCTCCATGTCCTTTGCTTCTATCCAAGGTGCCAGACACATGCCTCTTGTCCACTTTAGAAGGGTGGGAGTGCGTTCAGACAAAATACATAGGCTCCATCCTCCACTTGCACTGCTGAACTTTATTTGACAAGGAGATCAGGAGGGTTCCTCTCAGGAACCTGCCCGGGAGGAAAGCTCTGCAGCTCTAGCAAAGGGAATCATTGGATTCTTATGAGTGAAACTCATCTTGTCTGAAGTTCAGACCAGCATTTATCTCTCATAACTTCATTCTTAAAATGCAAACAACCAAGACTGGTGAGTGAGGAAAGCCTCCCATGTGAACACAGCAGGCATGGGCATGTAGATATGGGTGCATGGGGGAGGAATGGCTCGAGATGAACCACTTCTCATACCCTGAGTCGGACAAGAAGGCCACTTTCACCTGGAGCATTGACTTAGACGTAAGAAAATAAGCCAGAATGACAAAAATAAGTAAAGTGTAAGAGGTAAGAATTTGAGAGACCCCCTTCAGTAGAGCTAGCCTCTAGCTATCAAGACATTCCTTCCAGAAAGGGATAAAGAAAAAATATGATGAAAAAAATGACAGGATCAAGAAATTGCTCTGATCTGTGAATTTTGAGATTGAAAATGCTCACTGTATTCAGAGCAAGAATATTGAGAACAAAGATCATGCACAATTTACAGTGTCATTGACAAGCAGACTTTTCTGGGGTAAGACTGAGAATTGCTGCAGACTTCTCAAAAACAGTGTTGAAACTGTAGGCTCATGATTAAAGGCTCTAGCTGGTCGTGATAGTTTGCAAGATGCTGTAAACGTTACAACAGTGGTTCTTAACCTTCCTAGTGCTGAGACCTTTTAATACAGTTTCTTCTGTTGTGACCTCTGACTATAACAGTATTTTTGTTGCTACTTTCTAACTGTAATTTTGCTTACTGTTGTGAATTGTAAATATGTATTCTGATGGTCTTAGGTGACCCATGTGAAAGGGTTGTGACCCTCAGGTTGAGAAACATGCATTAGAAGGTAGATCTTAGCTTCAAGGAACTGGAGGCATGCCCTTGAGAGGTATTCTTTCTGTGATTCCTTCCTCTCTCTGCTTCTCTCTTCTGCTTTGGTGAAGAATCAGCAAAACACCCCTTGGAGAGGTGGCATTAGGAGGAAGTGGGCATTGAAACAAGTCCAAGCAAATGCTTGACACAGAGCTTCGTGCACACTTTATTCTGATAAAGATAAAACTTAAAATTCACTGAAAACTAGGACAGTAGTGTGGAAAGCTGATGTACTGAGTTATTCAGAATGCAGGTATTGTATTTTACTGAATGTAATAGGGTGAATTGGCTATAGACGAACAGAATGAATGAGGGTGGGCTACTTTAGAGCATCATTTTGTTCAGGTCCTGCTTGCATTTTCTCTGATAAAGCCAAAGCTTTGCAGTTTTCCTTCCCCTCTCACCTTTTCTTGCTGAGGCAGGAAGCACTCCTGAGCTTTCATTCTGGAGTCTAGGTGATTAGACTGACTTGTTCTTGCTGTGCTGTGCTCATCAAGGCTCCAGGGACAGACCTGACTGAAGGGGTCTTTGGCATTCTTACCTCCTATGCTTTATTTATTCTTCTTGTCATTCTGTTATTTCTAAGGGTCAATGAAGAAAAGACAGATACAGAAATTGGATTCAATTGGACTGGGCTCTCTGTTAGAGAAACCAAAGCAAGCCAAAAACTCAGCATGTTCTTTATATTGAATTGAATAGGGAGGCAGGGTTATTGCATATAATTGAACAAGGTTTAGTTTATCTGAATAGGAAATCTCTGAAGGGCTGCAGTCTTCAGGCCATAAATAATTCTGGGGAAGAAAGCTATGGTAGACATTTTTCTGCACTCACAATCAACATTTGCTCTTGGATCAGGAAGGAAGGCTTTGCCATTTGTTTTCCCATGGGTCTGAGGCTTTGTAGTCCTTAACATATCAACAACACACAATCATTCAGGACTTCATTCACTCAGGGTTTTGTCTGTTCCCCATACTACTGTAAGAGGATTCCTGACACTAGGGCTTCCAGTTGCCTGGTTTCTCTGCTTGCTTGTTTATGTATTTTCTTTTATAAATAGTTTTATTCACTTTTGAGAATTTCATACATGAGCATTGCATCTCCATCACTGGTCCTTTCTATTTCCCCTCCAACTACTCTACCCTTCCAAATTTCTGATGTCCTCTCTAATTATTATTATTACACATAAACACACATATACACAAATGCATATATAACCTACTGAGTTTATTTAGTTTTGTTTGTACATACGCATATATCCAGGGTTAACCTTTACTGAAAAGTTTCCTGTTGGCCTCTTCAGTGAGTTGCTTTGCTGTTTTAAATAGGGAGTCAAGTTCATTTGCTTATCACAAATGTTCCCCCAACCCCCAGACAGGGTTTCTCTGGCTGTCACTCACTTTGTGGACCAGGCTGGCCTTGAACTCACAGAGATCCTCCTGCCTCTGCTTTCCAAGTGCTGGGATTAAAGGCATATGCCACCACCTACTGGGTTCTAATGAATTCTTAACTGATTTAAGAGATTAAACTTCAAATAAGATCTAGATAATGATTACAGAGAAACACATGCACACAAATGCAAGGCAAGTAAAACCTAAAAGGAAGTAAAACTTAAAAGTTCTCAAAATAGAATTTAGGTCACAGAACATTTAAGAAAATGATCAATATGAAATGATAAAATATATTTTATAAGAAAAATGTAGCTGGGCGATGGTGGCACATACCTTTAATTTCAGCACTTGGGAGGCAGAGGCATGTACATGATCTCTGTGAGTCCGAGGCCAGCCTGGTCTATAGAGTGAGTCCAGGACAGGCTGCAAAACTATACAGAGAAGCCATGTCTCAAAAAACCAAGAAAAAAAAAAGTAACAATCCTAGAGATGTAATAAGGGAGACCTTCAGCAACCAAATGCACATTCATAATGAAAACAATCCTTTAACAGTGGAGGAAGCCTAACCTGACACATTGTATCTGGGGATTTAAAAATCATCTGTTTCAGGATTTAAGAGATTGAGCAGAAAGACTAGGAAGATACTGTACATAGACCATTGAGGAGACAAGTAGAAAGTAGGAGTGGAGGAAACCCATATGAGAAACACGAGGTACAGTCCGATGCATTTAGGGAAATGTGCATTTAAGTAGCCTATCACTTTGGCAAAAGTTCAACAGTTGGCTGCATCCAATGTGAGTGATGGATGATATAGGCATTTTGAAAACAGGAATTTTCAAAACCTGTTGATAGAAGTTGAAACTATTACAATAATTTGAATTATTATAGTACATAAAAACATTTGGGAACTGTAAACCTTAAAAAGCTTTTAAAACTGAAAGTGGCCCACTTCAGACTGGAAATCTGCCCCACAGAAGTAATATAAACAAATGAACCGAATGTGCTAATGCTCACCAGAATATTGACAAATGCAATAATGCTGAGTGGAGCTGCGGCACGTCCAGATTGTGATATGCATACTCAGCTGTTAGGAAATGTTTATTGACAGGCAATAGCAAACAGTCAACTAATGTGTCTGGTTTGACATTTGTCAAAGAGTTTGGATGAGTCAGAAAACCCATATGTAAGACAGAAGTTAAATATGAATGTGAAGAAAGTCATGGAAGCACCAGCCACACTGGGGATAATTGTAATTTTAGGGAAGCAAACTGGAGAGCGGAAGGTTTTGACTCCTTGTTCTTACTATAGTAAGCACATGATAAGAAAGATTAGTATAAGAGATCCAGCAAGGAAAGACATTTTTCTAAGAAATGTGATTGTTAGTCTTCAAGGGTTTGGATTCTCTAGAGCAGTGGTTATCAGCCTTCCTACTGCTGTAACGTTTTTACAGCTCTTCATGTCCTGGTGACTCCCAACCATAAAATTATTTTCCCTGCTACTTTGTAGCTGTAATTTTGCTACTGTTATGAATCCTAACGTAAATATCTGTGTTTTCTGATGGTCTTATGCGACCCCTCTGTAGGAGTCATTTGACCTCCAGAAGGGTCACAACTCACAGGTTTGAGAACCGCTACTCTAAAGAGTGAGCTTTTATGTGATTCACAGCAGCAGTTGTCCTTCCCAGCCCTCAGTGAGTACCAGATGTTTTGTATTTTAGCTACAGGTCTACCTGCTCTCCCGTGTTAAGGCATCCACTGCTACACTTACAAGTACTTTTGCTTTGATAGGGCTGTCTTCATCAGTGGAATACAACGTAATGGAATTGGAGAAAGAACTTGAGAATGTAAAGACCCTTAAGACAAAATTAGGTATTGTACTTTTCTTTTGGACTTATTTGTTAGTCTTGGTTAGTTATAAAAAGACTGTAAATAGTCTTAAAATATTTGAAAATTTATGAAAGTTTAGTTTGTGTTAAAAACTTTCTGTGTTCAGAGTCATTGGTCTTTCTTATAGGAGAGGGTAAGTATAAATTCTCTGAAATTACTTTTTTAAAAGGCTTGTTTATTTTATATGTTATGAATGCTTTGCCTGCATGTCTATCTTTGTATCCCCTATAACTGGAGTTACCAGTGGTTGTGGGAGTTACCAGTCCTTGTGGGAGCTGTGTGATGAGCTGAGGCCTCTGCAAGAATAACAAATGCTTTAAACCACTGAGCCGTCGTCTCTCCAGCCCCTGAAGTTACTTTTCAAATATGTTAACATGCAAAGATGTTGGGGCTTTATCTGTTCACTTGAGTTGATTTTTTCTGTATGTGGCTGGCTGCACACATACCAGAGTGGGTGTGGAGGTCAGAGAAGAACCCGCAGGAATAGGTTCTTCTGTTCCTTCATGTGGACTTTGACTGGTGGCAGGTATCTTCAGTCACCAAGTCATCTTGTTAGCCCCACTTGCATTATTTTTGAGAAATATTAAGTAAAAACTTCTCTGTCAATGTGATTTTTAAAATGTGCTTTTAAGATGTCTTTTTCTGACGGATAGAAGGCACTTTAATTATGATGTGCCTTAATACCTTTCTTGGTTTTTGGCTCATCAAGCTTCTTGGATGTGAGAATTTATACTTTTCATATCACCTGAGAAATTTTGGCTCTTAATTTATTCCAATATTTTTCTTTTCTCCTTTGTGCTACCCTTTTCAGGGACTTGAGTTACTTGCAGATTCTCTGGAGCTCGTTTGGTTTTGGATAGTTTCTGTTGCAGTTTTCTCATCTCAGCCTTTCTTCTGCAGGTCTGATCTGTCTCTTATCCCCGCTGCTGTAGTTTATTCTCAGACACTGGTTTTCAGTTTTGCTTTGGGCCTGTTATCTTCATGCTGATAATTGACATTGTTCAATCTATTTCCTCCAACTTAGTTGGAAAAAGGAAGGACTATAGTTATGAGAGCACTCTAAAGTATGTGTGTGCGCATCTGTGGGTGCATGTGCTTGCCAGCGGTTAATATCGGCTTTCTTTCTTGATTGCTTTCTACTTTGTTTTTGAGATTTTAAATTTATTTATTTATTTTTTATTTGAATCTGTTGCTCACTGTTTTGGCTCTACTACCTGGCCAGACATCCTAGAGCTCTTCCTGTCTCTGCCCCCCCCGCCCTGAAATTACAAGCCTGTGCACTATACTAGGCTTTCTCACGTCAGTTCTGGTGTTTAAACTCGGGTTTTCATGCTTGCACAGCAAGGCCTTCACCAACTGAGCGGGTTCTGTAGCCCTCTGAGAGCTGTGCTGGTTGTCTATTGCTTTGTCAAGCTAGAGCAGTGGCTCTCAACCTTCCTCATTCTGAGACCCTTTCATACAGTTCCTCATGTTGCAGTGACTCCAACCATACAATTGTTTTTGTCTCTACTTCGTAACTGTAATTTTGCTACTGTTATGAATCGGAATGTAAAGATCTGTTTTCTGAGGGTCTTAGGTGACCCCCAAAAGGGTCAAGACCCGCAGGTTAAGAACTGCTGAGCTACAGCTGAAGTCATTTGGAAAAAAAGAACCTCAATTGAGAAAATGCTCTACTAAATTGGCTTGTGGACATTTTTTTTTAAATTAATGATTAACGTGGGAAAGCCCAGCTCATTGTAGATGGTACCCACCCTTGGGAGGTGGTCCTGAGTGGTGTAAGAAAGCGGTCTGATCATGTTAGGAGGAGCAAGCTAGTAAGCAGCATTCCTCTGTGGCTTCTGCATCAGTTCTTCCTCCACGCTTCTGCCTTGAATTTCTGTTCTGATTTCTCTTCAGATGAGGGACTATAACTGTGAGCTGAAATAAACTCCTCTCTCCCCAGGTTTCTTTTGGTCATGGTGTTGATAATACAACAATAGAAACCATCACTAGTAAAAAGCACTTCTGATCGCTTTGCCTGTGAATTCTGACATTCTTTGTTAGCTCTTGATAAGTTTCAAATGATTGGTTTTGTTTCATATTATTTGTTTTATATTATTTTTTACTTCTTTGCATGCTCGGCATTTTTTGAAAGGAAAATGGGCATTTTTTTTGGGGGGGGGGGATGCTGGTATTTTTTTGCATCCCTGAGGGGAAGGAACTTTGGATTGAAATGCAGTTAACTGATTCAGTTGCCTGTCTCTGAAATCTCACTGGGCTGGACCCAAGCAGTACTGCTCCAGGGCACCTGCTCCATAGTGGGGCATTTCTCCTTGTGGCCCATGCAACTATCAAGCACTATTCCCTCATGTTTGTCTTTAGCCATGGAGTGTTTCGTGTCTGAGTTGAATATGTGAGGTGACCGTTGGCAGACTTTTGGTGTACTTAATTTGTCCTGCAATCTTGTTTCTGAAGATCTCAGTTAGTTGGGTTTTCTCAGACGCACATTTCATGTTTTCTGGGTAGGAATGAACTGAGCTTTTCTTGGTTCCTTTGCCTAGCCATCATGTTCTAGAAACTTTCAAAATGTTAAATGAGGTCATTTAGGTTTGTATTGTTCACTGCCCCTCAAATCTATTGTGTTTCCCAAGATCAGAAGTTGAGGGTCCTGAACATTTTGTGTGTGTATGTATAACTGCTTGCCTGCCTTTCTTTCTCTTCTTACTTCTGTGGCTGTGGCTTGATGATTTTATTATTTGAAAACTATTGGTCATTATCTTTTTCTTTTATTATTTACTTATTAAAGATTTCTGTCTCCTCCCCACCACCGCCTCCAATTTCCCTCCCCCTCCCACAATCAACTCTCCCTCTCTCGTCAGCCCAAAGAGCAGTTAGGGTTCCCTGCCCTGTGGGAAGTCCAAGGACCACCCACCTCCATCCAGGTCTAGTAAGGTGAACATCCAAACTGCCTAGGCTCCCACCAAGCCAGTACGTGCAGTAGGTTCAAAACCCAGTGCCACTGTTCTTGAGTTCTCAGCAGTCCTCACTGTCCGCTATGTTCAGCAAGTCCGGTTTTATCCCATGCTTTTTCAGACCCAGTCCACCTGGTCTTGGTGAGTTCCCAGTAGAAACATCCCCATTGTCTCAGTGTGTGGGTGTACCCCTCGCGGTCCTGAGTTCCTTGCTCGTGCTCTCTCTCCTTCTGCTCCTGATTTGGACCTTGGGGTTTTAGTCCGGTGCTCCAGTGTGGGTCTCTGTCTCTGTCTCCTTTCATCACCTGATGAAGGTTAATATCCAGGAGGATGACTATATGTTTTTCTTTGGGTTCACCTTCTTATTTAGCTTCTCTAGGATCACGAATTATAGGCTCAATGTCCTTTACTTATGGCTAGAAGCCAATTATGAGTGAATACATCCCATGTTCCTCTTTTTGGGTCTGGCTTACCTCACTCAGGATAGAGTTTTCTATTTCCGTCCATTTGCATGCAAAATTCAAAAAGTCATTGTTTTTTGCTGCGGAGTAGTACTCTAATATATATACATTCCATACTTTCTTCATCCATTCTTCCATTGAAGGACATCTAGGTTGTTTCCAGGTTCTGGCTATTACAAATAATGCTGCTATGAACATAGTTGAGCATATACTTTTGTTGTATGATAGGGCATCTCTTGGGTATATTCCCAAGAGTGGTATTGCTGGGTCCAGGGGTAGGCTGATCCCAAATTTACTGAGAAACCGCCACACTGCTTTCCAAAGTGATTGCCCAAGTTTGCATTCCCACCAGCAATGGATAAGTATACCCCTTCCTCCACAACCTCTCCAGCAAAGGTTATCATTGGTGTTTTTGATTTTAGCCATTCTGACAGGTGTAAGATGATATCTCAAAGTTGTCTTGATTTGCATTTCCCTGATCGCTAAGGAAGTTGAGCATGACCTTAAGTGTCTTTTGGTCATTTGAACTTCTTCTGTTGAGAATTCTCTGTTCAGCTCAGTGTCCCATTTTATAATTGGGTTGATTAGCCTTTTACAGTCTAGTTTCTTGAGTTCTTTATGTATTTTGGAGATCAGACCTTTGTCAGTTGCGGGGTTGGTGAAGATCTTCTCCCAGTCAGTGGGTTGCCTTTTGTCTTAGTGACAGTGTCCTTTGCTTTACAGAAGCTTCTCAGTCTCAGGAGGTCCCATTTATTCAATGATGCCCTTAATGTCTGTGCTGCTGGGGTTATACGTAGGAAGTGGTCTCCTGTGCCATATGTTGTAGAGTACTTCCCACTTTCTCTTCTATCAGGTTCAATGTGTTCAGACTGATATTGAGGACTTTAATCCATTTGGACTTGAGTTTTGTGCATGGTGATAGATATGGATCTATTTTCATTCTTCTACAGATTGACATTCAGTTTTGCCAGCACAATTTGTTGAAGATGCTCTCTTTCTTCCATTGTATACTTTTAGCTCCTTTATCGAAAATCAGGTGTTCATAGGTTTGTGGGTTAAAGTCCGGGTCTTCTATTCGATTCCATTGATCGACTTCTCTGTTTTTATGCAAATACCAAGCTGTTTTCAATACTGTAGCTCTGTAATGGAGTTTGAAGTCAGGGATGGTAATGCCTCCCCAGATGATCCTTTATTGTATCAGATTGTTTTGGCTATCCTGGGTTTTTTGTTTTTCCACATAAAGTTGATTATTGTCTTATCAAGGTCTGTGAAGAATTTTGATGGGATTTTGATGGGTATTGCATTGAATCTATAGATTACTTTTGGTAGAATTGCCATTTTTGCTATGTTGATCCTCCCAATCCAAGAGCAAGGGAGATCCTTCCATTTTCTGGTGTCCTCTTCAATTTCTTTCTTCAAAGACTTAAAGTTCTTGTCAAATAGATCTTCCACTTCCTTGGTCAGAGTTACCCCAAGATATTTTATGCTATTTGTGGCTATTGTGAAAGGTGATGCTTCTCTGATTTCCCTCTCTGTTTCCTTATCCTTAGTGTATAGAAAGGCAACTGATCTCTTGGAGTTGATCTTGTATCCTGCCACATTACTAAAGGTGTTTATCAGCTGTAGGAGTTCTTTGGTAGAGTTTTTGGGGTTGCTTATGTATACTATTATATCATCTGCAAATAACGAAAGTTTAATTTCTTCCTTTCCAATACAAATCCCCTTGATCCCCTTATGTTGTCTTATTGCTATTGCTAGAACTTCAAGCACTATATTGAAGAGGTATGGAGAGAGTGGACAGCCTTGTCATGCTCCTGATTTTAGTGGGATGGCTTTGAGTTTTTCTCCATTTAATTTAAGGTTGGCTGTCGGCTTGCTGTAAATAGCTTTTGTTATATTTAGGTATGACCCTTGTATCCCTAATCTCTCCAAGACCTTTATTGGTCATTATCTTATCAATTTTTTAAAACGTAATTTTTTATTGATTCTTTTGGAATTTAACATCGTGAACCTCAGTTCCACTCATTTCCTAGTCTCTCCATATCTATCCTTCACCCTTGTAGTGTCCCCCACCAAGAAAAACTTTAAAGTAATAATAAAAATAAAAATAAGAATATGAATTAAACAAACAAACAAAAGCCCTCCCCTCCTCCATTTTCCCTGCATCTCTATTGCCTTTTTATTCGTTTCAGTGACACTGGCAGCTGCAGTGTATCATGTTTTCTGTCCAAACAGCTTTACTTGAAAATGTTCATTGTGTAGTGAGTTGTTGGTCTGGTTCAAGGCCTCTAGCTTCTGGTACACTATCAGTGCTGGACCCTCACTATCTCCTCTCAGATCTTCTGCTGTTGCCCCAAGTTATAGAGATCCAAATGTCCCTCATGTATTCTAGCAGGTCATAGCTGGGGTAGATATTGGGGAGTGCCAACTCAAAGCCCTAGATGTATACCTGGTTGGTAGCTGACTTGGTTTATCTGGGCTGCTGGGATCACCACCCCTCAGATGAGGGCCAGACCCAGCTCTCCCATGCCCATGTTGAAGCTTGGGGCCAGCTTTCCCAAGTGCACATGGGGGCCTCCTATGAGGGGCAGGATGAGGGGGCAGGGTCAGCTCTCCAGTCGGAGAGGGCTGCTCTCTCTGGGCCAGTGAGAGCCAGTGCTAGCTCAGCCCTTGTACTTTAACACATGGTTCACATGGCCTCTGTGGTAACATGGGCAACAGATATCAACAGAGACCGCAGCTATATTAGAGCCATAGACCTAGATATGAGCATCAGCAACAGTTTGGGCTCAGTTGTCACCATTGCCCAGGGTGGTAGTGCAGGCCTCTCAGATCAGAATGGGCCCAGCAGAAGCATGGTCCCCACTCCAACATGGCCAGGTGGTAGCACAGACTTATGGCATCCTTGTGGCTTTTGGTGGCAACATGGGCCGAGGACATCAACATAGAGACCTGATTATGGAGGGATCATTGTCTGGTTCCTAGGAGCAGCTGGGCCCAGATGTCATCATGGCCCTATGTGGCATCATAGGCCACTCAGATCAGCATTGCTCCAGCCACAGGGTGGCTCTCAGACACCAATATGGCTCCAGGTGGTGGGCCGGTTCCTAGGCATTGCACTGCCCTTGATGGCAACAGGAATCATAGTTGTCAGTATGGACTTTGGCTGCAGTAAAATCATGAACCCAGATATGGTCTTGGGCTGTAGCTTGGGCCCTGGTGGCAGTGCAGGCCACTCACTCAGGGTGGCCCCTGTGGTGGGATGGCCTTCGGGCTCCAACATGACACATATGACAGCCCAGACCTCAGGCATCCTCATGGCCTTCAGTGATGACAGGAGCCACAAACATCAACACAGACCACAGCTAAGACAGGGCCATAGACCCATTCATGGCCTTTGGCAGCAGCCCAGGCCTGGAAGTCATCATGACCTCAGGTGGCAAGCAGGCTTCCCTCATCAGCCCGTTCCTTACTGCCTTTGCCTCTTTAGATCTGCCTCTCCCCACAGAACATAGGCCATTCTGCTTCTCTATCTCTCTCATACCATATATTGGCTCACTCTAATGGACTGACCACCAGGCACCAGAGCTGGCTGATGGTTTCTCCTCCCCACCCTGGGTAAGTTACTCCAGGTGGGAATGTCAGTGTCCTTCATCCACCAGGCCCTAGTGGCACCCAGCAGGCCCCCTTATCAGTTTTTATCTGTCCCATTTTCTTTGATTTCTTCAGATTCTGGTTAAATACACACTAGACTTTTCCCCATTCTCTGTCATTTGTTTCCTGTGTCCTAGCCTCTCATGCTGTCTTCTGGTCTGTCTTCTACTTTAGTATTTCCCAGATGTGCCATACTGTTGTTTAAACTTCTTATTGAATTTTTCATTTTTTTAACATTTTCATTTCATTTTACATTTACAGTATTTTTCAGCTCTAGGATGTTCATTTGGCTGTTTTCATTGGTTCAGATTTATTTGTGAGTTTTGTTGTTTTGTCATTTATTTAGTTGACTATCAATTAAGGCCTCTTTTTGTTAGTCTGTGTGTGGACAATTGAGGGTCTGTTCCTGTTGGCTCTGTTTCTTCTTTACCTCCTGATAATGTTTGACTGATTTCTGGATATTTCTTAAAATTATAGAAGCTGGAGGACATTTTCTTCTTTTGGGTAGGCTGTTAGAGTGGCCGTACACTGTCTGACTGTCTCTTTTCTAAGGTATTGCTTTTCATTGGTTCTGACTCTACTTCCTAGTGGACTTTAGGTTGGGCCCGGCAGCTTTGCCTTTCACCTATATCTCTCTCTTCCTTTTCATAGCATTCTCACTACTGAGGTCTCAAGGAAGAAGGGATCTACATGGCAGGCTTACTTCTTAATCCATTTCTTCTCTCTGGGATTTTGCCCTCTAAAATTCTGACTTCTTTGCTAACTCCAAGCTTCTTGGTTTTTTTTTTTTCCTCCTTGGCTTTGTTGGGTTTCCTGAGAGTTTGCCTCAGCATTGCTGCTGCTTTTGCCTCTTTCACAAATGTAAAGGGAAAAAAATTGTGTGTGTGTGTGTGTGTGTGTGTTTGTGTGTCTGCTTGGCTGTATGTGTGCCGCATGTGTGCAGGTACACACAGAACCCTGGAGCAGGAGTTACAGGTGGTTGTGAGCCACACAATGTGGGTCTAGGAACCAAACCCAGGTCTGGATGAGGAGCAGGTGCTCTGAACTGCTGAGCCACTCAAGGCCCATGCCATGCATTGTCTCTTGACTTCTACTTGATTTATCAGACTCTTGGGCCCATACTAACTCCATATTGAAAACTGCCTTGCTGGGAATGGATGCACACAGAGAGGGCTCACCTCCACTACATCACACAATATTGGCCTCTTGCTTTCCTTAACTTGTTGCTCTAATACATCTAGAGATGGTTTTCAAGTTCAGTTTCTCTTCCCTAGTGTTCATAGCATGGATCGGGTGTGGTATGAAGTAGATTGTTTCATCTAGAATGGGAAGTTCCCTTAAAGCCTCTGGAAAACAGATGTTCAGCTTTGGGACCTGAGACTAGAGGGGATTATCACTCACACTCCTTTATTCCCTCAAATATCTGCCTGTGTCAGTATATACATGTGTGTCAAGTACACATATTCGTCATCCTAAAAGTGAGCTATTTATTAATGATATATTTTCTTAAAAGCAAAATTGTCTTTACTAAGCTGAAATTTAAGCTTCATGGCATTGAACTTTAAATGTAGCAAGCTAATTTTAAATGGATTTTTATAGTTTATAGATAAAAATACAAAAACCAATTTATCTTAAAATTTATGTTTTTCAGAAAACAAAAAATAATGTACACTGGTCACAATATAATGAGATGTGAGGAAAATATGAACCTGGAGAGAATTTTTGGAAATTGCTGAAATTTTTACTTTGTTTTTCTTTCTAATAGAGAGGCGAAAAAAGGCTTCGGCATGGGAGAGAAATCTGGTGTATCCTGCTGTTATGGTTCTACTTCTTATTGAAACAGTAAGAAGTTGCTTGCTGGCTTAAATAAACTGTATTGTCTTTTGTTTACTGTTTCCTTTAGCTGAGCTGTTTCCAGTTAACTGGGTTTCTAGCAACAGAATCAAAATCTGTCTGTATCTCAATTTGTAAAAATTCAGCACAGCAAAGAATGGAAATGAATGACAATTAGATAAATCCTTAAGGTTACACTTCCTCATGCAACAGGAACTGCAGGTTTTGCTTGAGTAGAATTAAGAAAACACAAAGCATAACTGCTGCGCCAAAAGCTGCAGGAGTGGAATTCCTTTCTAAGATGAGCTGTGCTAGAGCATGGCCCTAGAAAGTCAGGGGAGCTGTGGACTTCTCACTGAGAAGTCTACACAGTAAATCCATCCGTATTGTTACCTTCTGTCATAAATCTTGAAATCATAATTTACAAAATGCTTGCAGTTTGTCTCGGAGTGCTTGTATATACTGTACTTCCCCATTCTGAAAGACACAGGTGATGTGCACTGTCAAAAGGAGTGTTTGAAACTGGGACCTGACAGCTCTCTCTCTCTCTTGCAGTTCATTTCGGTCCTCTTGGTGGCGTGTAATATTCTTTGCCTACTGGTTGATGAGACTGCAATGCCAAAGGGAACAAGGGTAAAGTTAAATGCATTCAAAAGTCTTTTTAGATGTGTGTTTGAATATTTTGTGTAAGTTCCTGGAAACACCTTTCTGAATGTAAGCATCCCAAGCCCTGTGACTTTCTCTGAATAAAGAGCTTTCACAAACATGTTTACGCACTCATGCACACTTTGGTTTCTAGGGCATTTTTTCAAGTATCAGTGTTATTTATAGACTTCAATATCAGACATGATATTGATTTTTACTGAAGTTTTTATTTGGAATTCTTTAAAGAAAATGCATGCTTTAAAACAGTGTTGTATAAAGAGCAGATCAGTTAGATTTAACAAATTTGCTACATATTTGTGTATATATATATATGTGTGTGTGTGTGTGTGTGTGTGTGTAGGAAAATGAGTGTCAGAAGTTTTATGAAACTTGTTTAAAATGTGTGGTTATTGGAGGAGAGTCCAGATGTACTTTTTTCATGAGTTAACTTTTATCTGGTTTAAAGATTGGTGCTTCCACGAGTCTTGGTGGCACAGGCATCGTGCATACACTCCTAGCACCTAAGAGACTAAATGTTTTGAGTTTTAGTTCAAGGCCAGCCTGGACTACACATTAAGACCGTGTCTCAAAAATAGTCCCAAATAAAAAGTTGATGATTTTTGTTAGGTTCTGGTATATATTCGAACATATGCTCAATTAGGAAGAGATATATCATTAAATATTTGTAGTTGACTTGCTGTCTTTTGTCATCCTTTTGCAATGATCTTGCCTCAGTCTCTCAAGTGATGAGGTTACAGATGTATGCCACATTATTTAGCTTGCAACACTTTTCCAGCTGTCTATAAAGTTTGGAAATACCCCTCTTCTGCTGCGGCTAATGGTGGTGGTGTCTGTGTGTGTATGTGTGCATGCATGCTCATATGCCCATACATGCACACACTCATGTACACACACATTCATGTGTTTATGTTTTTGAACAGGATCTCATGTAGCGCAGCCTGGCTTCAAACTCCCTCTGGAGCCAAGGATGGCTGAATGTCTGATCCTCCTGCTCCTACCTCCTTTGTACTGGGATTAACAGGTGTGGGCCACCAGACCTGGTAGCTTTTGAATATATAAAATGTTACTTGATTTACATTTTGAAGTACATTTTGTTTTTCTAGGTCAATAGGATTTCCAGTCCTCATAGTGGTGTCTTTAAGACCCTCTTGATCTTACTATGTCATATTTCTCGTAAGCCAGATGTTGCCATTTTTTTCTCGCAGAAAAAAAAAGTCAAAAAAAAGTCAGTCCCTGTCTTAATTACTTTCTTTTCATCTGAGATGGAGGTACCCTGCTTTTAATTTTTTTTAGCCATTGTCTTGACTTTCCCAACCAGCAGTGTGTCTGGGCCCTCCTGCCACCTTCTATCACCTTGTTTCACCGTCAGTTCTCACTGGAGGGCCTGCTGCAAAGGCACTCCTCTTCTGCAGCTCGGCTTTGTCTTTTTTCTTATGCCGAATTCCCACACCAGGAAGTTGCTCCTGTGATTTCTGTTGACTCTCACCCCAGTATAGTGGAACAAAAAAGTGGGGTGCATTTTGTGTCATCTCCTTCCTGTTCAGTAGAGTGACTTGTACCCCCAGGGCTCCCTGTATGCTTGTGTAAATGTATGAACTCTTTTTAATTTTCCCTTAGTCTCTCTTGAGAGAGTGAGTATTCCAGAACATCTTTCCATCTTGGCCAGTATACCTTTGTAGTGTAGGAAAGTAGGATCTTTTCCTTATCCAGCACTGGGTTCATGGTAGAGGTCTTAATAGCAAAAGGCATAATGAGAGAAAAATGGATGAATTTAATATAAAATTTATGAAAGCGTAGCTTCCATTTGCGGAGGAATGGACAGTGATGGCATGCTGGACCGTGATGGTATGGTGTGCCGCTCCCTAATCATGTGCTCCACTGCCTCTGGGTCCTGCCTTGAGGAAGGAGGAGGCTCCTCTTCTCTGCATTGGGAACCCGACACCTGCAACAAGGGATTTTCTTAGGGTCCAATTTGGGATGGCATGTCTAAAACCTGACCACTTGCTTTTGGCATTGTCCGTATTCTCTTAAATGACAAAAAGATGATAAGTCCCATGCCATCACTTTATTTATGAATGGAATTGCCATGGTATTCTTATTCCTTTATGTCTAAATTAGATTGTATATATAATGTGTGATATTATTTATTGGTTTCTGTTTTATTAGTCTGGCTGCCATTGTGATTTAAAATGACCAGGGAAATGATGATGTGCATTCAGAGATTATCCTTTAATCTCTACCAGTAAGCTTTGAAAATATTGTTCCTGCTTTAATGGGGGAGTGATGGTTGCTCTCAGTTATCAGTATCTGAACATTATTTATTTTGTTTCTTGGTAAAGGTAGGTCTTGAAATTGGGGTAATTTTTGTGAGAATTTATGCATTGCTTTTTATTGTGTTAAATTACTTTACATTTTTTTTAAAAATATGCTAGCAGTTACACTTTTATAATAAATTATTGAAAAAATTTGGGAAAAGGAAACTGGATATACATTATTTGTAAGTATATCTTAAATTTGGCAGGATTTATGGTATAATTTTTATATATTACTTCTACCTTGGTTTATGTCTGTATTCTGCTCTAAACTATTATCTATTTAAAAAACCTCCCTAGAACATTCAAGATGCTTTTCTCAAATAGCAGATTGTTTTATTTTATAATAGTAATCATATTGGTATCATTTTGGCAAGAAACTTAAAAGTACGTTTACAGTTATTCAGGTTATTTTTGAACCTGTTAAAATGATTAGTGTGCTGCCAAGTTTGTGCTTAGGTCAGTCATCCTTTGGAAGACTCACGCTATTCTAAGGTTGATGTTTCCAGTTGGAACTGTCTGTGTAATGGTGTCACTGGTTCTGAGGAGTGTTTTTCCCTGCAGGGGCCTGGGATAGGAAGCGCCTCTCTCTCCACTTTTGGCTTTGTGGGAGCTGCACTTGAAATCATTCTGATTTTGTATCCTTTCTTCAGCTGAATGTTACGTTTGTTAACAAGTTTCCTGTCTAGTTCCTGGGACAAGGGTAATTTAGTAAGACGCTTGTCTAGAAGAAAAAGCGAGTCAGTCCTTCTCAAGCCCAGTGGCTGGTTGTGTTTTGTTTTTCCTCTGGGCTTCAGACTTGGGGAAATGTGCATTTCCTTGGAGCGTTTTTCCTTCATTCCTACAGCTATCTCATGGTGTCTTCTGTAGTTGGTTTCTACAGCCTCAGATTTTTTGGAAACTTTACACCCAAGAAGGATGACACAACGATGACCAAGGTAAGGTAGAGTGGTAGGTGCTGGTGGCTTTCCTCTTGCTCCAAGACAAACCAGGCTTTAGTTAGTAATCACCCTGAATGGCTTATCCGGGCTGATAGGTATTTGTAAGGAAGATTTCAGAATGCTGAGTGAGTGGCAAAGGATGTGCTCTGTGTAATTTGGACTGCGTCCATTCACTTGTAAATGCATGGAACTACAGAGCTTGGTAGCTCCTTGTGGAATGCTCCTGAAAGGACCTTTTTCTTCTTAAAGAAAACATATTGCTAATGAGTAACTTGGACTATGCTAACTGTACTTCAGGACTTTTTTGAAATCTGAAGAACTTAGTTGCTACAAGTAGTTGAGACAAAGTATTTCAATTCTGAATAATTAAAGTGAGAAGGAAGAGCTCTGTTTATTAACAGTGTGGTCTGAGGCTAATTTGACTTTATACAATATGTCATTGGCTCCAGAACAATAAAGGCTCTTATCTTACATAATAAATGTGTCTTTGTAAAATATTCTCACATGCTGCCTAAGAAGAATGGTTACAAGCTGCTGGCCCATTTCCGTTTTTATTATGTAGTCTGTATTTACAGCCTAGTTAAAGTGTGTTTGTATGTATGTGTATATATGGCAAAGAACCCCCTCTATAATACATATCACATATACATACATATCCGTCTATCCGCCAACCCAGATGTATAAGGTGCAGATTTTTTAAAGTCAATCAGTAGCCAGTGTCTAGTTGAGGAGAATATAAATACTAATTGGTGCTTTCAGTGCTTCCTATTGAAGATGAAAGAGTAAACAGAAGATACATTGAAAAATGAATAACTAGAGTCTAGATATTTTGGTTTCTAGTGTTTTCACATTTAAGACTGAACTGTATAAAAGTCAAACAGGTCAGAGTAGATATTATATAAAAGAACTTGTCAGCAATCTGTCTTTAAGATTTAGTCAGAAGTCCAGAGGCATTCTTTTTTATTTCATTGTCAAAGCTTCAAATTAACAACTGCATCAATAATATAAAATGTGTATGATTTAAATATTCTTTGACTTTGTATTTGTACCTATACTATGTGTATTTTGTGGAATTCATAGAAATAACTTTAATTTCTATAAAATTAAAGGAAAGGCTTATTCTGTTTAAATTTTACTCTCATGGTTAGTGTGATTAGGGAGCTAGCAAGTGCTCTGGGTATCTGCCCTGTACTGAGTGCTGTCTGTGAGTGTGCTCTTTGCCCCCTGCTGTTTTACTACTCACTTCCTTCCTTTCTCTCCACAGATCATTGGGAATTGTGTGTCAATCCTTGTCTTGAGCTCTGCTCTGCCTGTGATGTCAAGAACACTGGGTAAATTTGACTGAGAACTGTTCATTAAAAATCATTATCTTTGTAGATAGCTTTACTAAATCTTTCTAACTTTTGCTTGGTAAAGTTTTTTAAAATCATCTTTAAAATGTAATACTTCTTCTTATATTATTTTGTGTTTGATTTGTGTTTAGGGCCGTACCAAAGCAAGTGCTTTTCTTAAACAAAGGCCATTTATTTTTTAAGCACTTAAAGCATTCCTCTCCTAAACAATAGACTCTTTCCCTCACTAATTCACAAGTTGGGCAGAAAGAATCTTCTAGTGAGGAAACTTGTGACTTTTAAAAAAGCTTAATGCCTAGAAAATATAAAAATAATTTTTATGAAATGTCTTTCCAGATGTATAGTTTAGTGTGTGCTTTTAAAAATTTGTAAACCTACTTTAAGCTGCTTTGTGTCCATGAAAATAGAGCTGAGCATGATGTGCAGGCCCTGGGAGCACACGCCAATTCCAAGATACTTTTTTGTCTTGTTTCCACGTGCCTGCCAATCATAGCATTTCCTTACATTGTCAGTGTGCAGGCAGGTTTTTGTCACTGAAAGAGTTGAGTCGTAAGTCATTTGGCTCTTTCTATAAAGCATTGTTATAGGCTGTGCTTGGCTAAACATTATTTCAGGCAGAAGTTTCTTGTAGGCAGTTCTATATAATTCTCTAGACTTAGGTTTTAACTTTGGAAATTAATGATTGGAAAATGACCAGACAGATTTCATCTATGAACTCTGGGCCTGGCTTCCATAGCAGCTGCAGGCCTGGGAGTTGCTCTAACTCAGACACTGCCTCCATTTTTAATTTGAAGCTCACGCCATCAGTGTTGCAGCTATGTCAGAAAGTGGTTTTCTTCCTAAATTTTCCAAAGTCTTCTATGTTTCAATAAAAAGTAGAATTCAAGTGTAAGTGTTAAAGAGACCTGTTTTCCATGGGCCATTTGTTTAGTGGTTATGTCTCTTTCATGTTTGATTAGTAGGACGCATCTGCTTATGGTGTCTAATCTTGAAAGATGCACATTATGCCACCATTTGAAGCTAAATGCTACATCTGTTAGGACAGTCAAGCAGATAATGGTAGTGATCAGCCATCTTTCCATTTTAAACCTTTGCAAACCTTACTTATTATAATGTGTTATTTAAAAGTAATTGATATCCATTAATGTATTTCAATTTTGTGGGAGAAAAATCACATGCTTAGTATAGACTTAATACAAAGAAAACAAATTAATGGCGAAATTTACTTTTTGAAGCCTGACAAATTAAATTCCTGAGTAGTTTGCCATAGAGATAAATAAAAAGAAAAAAAAAGATGGAACAATTAAAATGCAGCTGAGAAGCTCTTGGACCCAGCTGTCCAAACAGGATTAGTGGAGTGCGCTGCGGTACGGTGAGTCATGTGGCGCCGTGTAAGACAGCAGCACGCACTGCAATACGTGTTATGCCCAGCGGCACTGAATAGATGAAAAGAGTAAATACGTTAAACAGATTCACAGAGGCTTTCCGCAGCATTAAAAAAGCAAAGTTCTAGACTAGAGATAAAGCCTTATTTTAGTATTATGGGAAATGCAAACTAGAGAGTTACTTTGTAATTCTTCTGTTAATGCTTTAGGATTGAGTCTTTGATTTTAAGAAGGTGAGATACAGAGAGCTGTGGCGAGTGTGCCCCTGCTGAAGAGCAGGATTGTGATGCACCAGCTGAAAAGCTTGAGACCAGAATAGAGGATGCATTAACCACATTCCTAGCTGTGAAAATGTCCCTCTCTCCTCGCCTCTCACAAGGAGATCTGACCTTGGCATGGTCTCCTTTGCTCCTGTAAGATCAGCCCACAGCATCTGTCATTAGGAGAAATGGGACACAGCAGAACAAAATATAGAACCTAACATACAACTTTTCTCTATTTCAGTGATAGTTTGGTGAAGAGGGTAATTTCAACTATGAATTGAAAGTACACTGAATCCAGAGTACCATAGTTAGTTTGGTAATCTGGTTGTTAAAAAGAAGAGGAAATTTTTTTTGTAGCTGATTTCTTTTAGAAATCATTAGCTGCTATTGTTGTTGCATTATGGGTACTGCCATACATCCAGCTCAAGTTTTGAGTGCACGATGTGACATAACGTGCTCACTGAAGCATTACTCTCAGATAGCTTGCTACATTTGAATGAGGGAAATGTATTCATTGAAAAATGTCCACTAAATAACTTAATAAGCTTATCACTTGCTACAAAGAAGGAGTGAGGGTTATTTTGAGCAGGCATTTTAAGTCGATGAAATGAATGTAGTTTATTGTATGTAGCAAATGTAAGGTTTTTGCATTCAGCCCTTTAAAACCTGGAAGAGCATTGTTGTGCCGCCTGTGATCTGGCACATTGTTGTGTTGTGTGCTCAGACTTTGGTTGTGAAGAGTCTCTGTTTTGGCATAGTGGATGCTTTTAAGTAATAGACTGCTGTTTAATACGGTCTGAGTGTGACTAGCGGAGATGGTTGTTAAAGGTCAATTCAGAAGAGTGAACCAGTCATCCCTAGATGCCCAGCCTTCTCTGTTTTGAAAAACATATCTCACATAGTTGCCAGTGTGCTCTTTATCATGCTCTGTGGAGACAACAAATGAAGGTTGGTTTTCTTTATTCTTCTTCTGAAGTTTTTCTTCAGGTGCAGACAATGGTCTTTGGAATACATTTGCTAATTACGCTTCAAAATTACTTTTATTTTTTATCTTAAAAACCTTTTCTGTACTTATAAGTTATACAAGGTTCAAATGCTGACTTACAGAAAGTATTTATGATACTGAAACAAAAATACCCTTTAGATTAGCTTATACATATTTTAGGTGTCTTCTCATCTGAGTCTAGTAATCTGTCATCTAGCAGGAGGTAAAGTGGATTATTCTCTTTTGTTGCATCTTGATTTGGGGACTTTGTTAGAAATCTCTGTTTCTTTTCTTTTTTTTTAATTTTTTAATTTATTTATTTATTAAAGATTTCTGTCTCTTCCCCGCCACCGCCTCCCATTTCCCTCCCCCTCCCCCAATTAAGTCCCCTTCCCCCTCAGCCCGAAAAGCAATCAGGGTTCCCTGTCCTGTGGGAAGTCCAAGGAACCCCCACCTCCATCCAGGTCTAGTAAGTTGAGCATCCAAACTGCCTAGGCTCCCACAAAGTCAGTGTGTGCAGTAGGATCAGAAACCCATTGCCATTGTTCTTGAGTTCTCAGTAGTCCTCATTGTCCACTATGCTCTGTTTCTTGAAGAGTCATTTATTTGCGTAAACTGTTGCTTTTCATTGTGGGCTTTGCCTGTTTCCTGTTTCTCAATGTAAGATGGAAGTAAATGATGCTTTTACAGATATCCATCCCTGGCAGATTTGAAACATATGTTTAATTTATATATTCCAATTATAGAATCTATGTAAAAGTAGTTTGAAGATCCATACTGAAAATTTCTCAGGAAAATTTGTATATAATGTCATTATATCTAGTTGAATAAAAGATAATAACAAACAAGCAGTTTTAACTAACTTATGTTTGACTACTAATGTTCCTTATATGTTTGAGCATTAAATTTTTAGATCTGCTTAGGATTTCTAAGAATAAGGAATTGCTAAAACTATCCTGCATTATATGCCAGAATCAGGAGAGCAGCTAGTGATGGTTCTTAGCTCATGTCTGCTTGTCTTTCCATGTGTTCCAGTGCTCTGCATAGAACAGGCCACATTGGTCATTGCAGTCAAAATGTAGCTGCCTGTTGGTATAGTTCCTAAGCTCTAGCTTGTATGAAAGTAATTCCAGTTGGAATCATCTGGTGAGAAGGTGCCTTGGGTCTGCTTTAAAATGTGAAGTGAAGATGTTGTCAGAATTCGGCAGTTATAGTAAGGGTCTCATTTATACTAAGAATAAAGAGCCTTAACCTAGCTGAGTATCTCCAGTGGACACATACAGTCAACTCTGAGATGGGAACAAGCCATCTCAGTTGTAGAAAATTAAAAAAAATATGAATAGATTACATTTATGAAGAGTATTAAGGATTAGATTGGACTGAAGAGGCTTCTGACTATGATTTTTTTAATTTAAAACAGTATTTTCATTAATTTTTTGAGACTGTCATATATATATATATATATATATACACACAATGTATTTTGATCATATTTACCTTCCTCTTCTCTCTTTAACTCCTCCCAGATCCGTACTTTCTCAACTTTGTATCGTTTTTTAAAAACCCACTGATGCCAATTTGTGTTGCCATAATACTCATTAGTGTAGGACCATCCACTGGAGCATGTTCAGCATACCTAGGGCCAAGTTCTTAAAGAAAACTCTCCCTCTTCAGAAGTGATCTGCTGGCAATAATTTCCCCACCAAGGTGGGTGGGGCTCATGAGCTCATCCCCACTCCATGCTGGCAACAATAGCTGCTTTGAGCTCATGTTTAGAAATCCTGACTCTTTCCTTCATGACATCAGAGCCTTGTTGGGAGCTGTGATATAGATGTTCCCTTTGTGACCGAGCTTTCTTTTGGATTTTGACCAGCTGTGACTTTCTATGTTAACTGCTGCTCACTGCACAAGGAAATTTTTCTGATGAAGTCTGAGAGCTGCACAAATCTATGAATATAGAGATAATGAATTTAGGGGGCAGATTGATACTATGTCCATTTAAGAAAATAGTATAAAGTTCTCCAACCATGGGTTCTTGGTCAGATTTGTAGTATCAGACATACATTTCCTTCTGCGGAGCAGGCCTTAAATCCAATCAAAACTTCATGTCATTGTTGCACCCATATGCTTATCTCACGATTGTTATTGTAGTTCACAGGGTTCACGGCTGGGTAAGATTGTTGATGACCCCTTCCACTCCAGCACTGTATAGCACCTTCGAGTACTATGAAAGCTAGCCAGTTGGGAGGAAGCTTCTTGTTGAGTGCCAACTTGATTTCTCCATGCACCGTGGCTAAAGTTTGTGGTCTGATCATGCTTTCAATCCTAGTCTCTTCTTCAGTTTCC